CTCCTGCCCCACACTCCAGGAAGCCACCACTGCCAGAGTGGGTCTCAGTCCCTCACCACAGAACCCTCAATCATCTCAACCATCAGTTTCCAGTGGTTACATTATGTACCAACCATCCTCCAAGTTATTTTAGGAAGAAGAGGGCACGGGGTTTAAGAAAAGAGGGGTTTGGTTGTTTTGGGGGGTTTCTTCAGAACTATAGTTTGAGAGTCTTAATTATTACCTTAGCTAATACATACTATTAATAAATACCAGCAGATCATTTTATGCAATTACTCTAAATATAAAGTGGTTTTCAAGCATTTCTGGAGGGTTTATGACTATTATGATCACTTAAAAATATGCCTCTGGCCCACAGAAGATGTGCACATTCGCCTTCAAAGAACCAATTTGGCCATTACAGGGATTTTGTTAAATCCCTTGTATGTCTGTTGTACTTTCCCTAAGGCTATGCAACCAAGTATTTTACACTGCTCAAACCAGACCTCTTAAATACAACTCACAGGCTGCTCCTCCCCTCACAAACCAATCGCTGGGACTTTGGCAGATTCCCCAGCTTTACATTTTAACTCCCAAAAAAAAGTGAGTTTCCATCTTATTCGCCATTTCCTACAAAAGACACAGCATTTTGCATTTTCTCTGCCCCACCGCCTCAGCCAAGAGATCAGGCCCTTCACGCTCACCATTACTCCACTTTGTTCTATGTTCTGCTTCTAAATTTTTTTTTTCCTTTCTGGAGAAGCAAATGCACTGATTACACAGCCTTCCAAAAAAGCCAACAGCTGTCACCAATCCCTGAACAAAACAGCCTGTTAAAAAATCAACGTCCTGAGTATTTTCCCATGGCAAGGGCGACGTAACCAAAGGGATGAGCTGCAGCTTGGTAGTTAAAAGGGCTTTACTTTGGTTGGCTGCTCTGTAAAATTTTAATTGGAATAGCAGTTGGTACAAACTCACAGGATTCTTCCCGTGCTGACAGGCTGTTAGCAGCCAGGATATACCCTGTGAGAGGTCAAAGGTGTGGAAAAACAAACAAGAGCAGCAATTTTAGAAGATGAAGAGATAAGGGTTTGTCAGGGCATTTTTCTACCACGGGAAACCACACACAGTCTGCGCCCACTTACTCAGTTGCTTCTTGCAAGTTATCTCCTTTTTCTGGGGGGAGAGGAAGAGAAAAAGCCACTTATTTTAAAAAAATTCTAGTTACTTGAACAGGAAGACTGATCTAGATGCCAGTGCCTGACTCCTCTCACCAGCCCTGTAACTTGGAAGATAATGGCAGGATATGTCCCTCCATGGATTTTAGCTATAAACTCCTTTTGTGAACCCACAAAGTCCCGTTTCACTTTTAAGTAAGTTTTAGAGGCAACACAAGCCCAACCCTGCAACAGCAACTAAAAGTCTCATAGCTCTGAAACAGTCACTTTTAAAGACTATATGTGTCTCAAGTGGAGGGGTTTATGTGCAAGGTGAGATCATGCAGGAAATTTAATAGTATTTTTCCACACAAGGCAATTAAATTTACTTTCACACCTTAAATGCCACTCATTCAATCACAGAATGGTTTAGGTTGGAAGGGACCTTAAGGAACATCTTGTTTCACTTGTGCTATGGGCACACCTTCCACTAGCCCAGGTTGCTCCAAGCCCCGTCCAACCTGGCCTTGGACACTTCCAAGGATCCAGGGGCAGCCACAGCTTCTCTGGGCAACCTGTGCCAGGGCCTCCCCACTCTCACAGGAACTTCTTCCCATTATCCCATCTAACCCTGTCCTCTGGCAGTGGGAAGCCATTGCCCCTTGTCCTGTCACTCCAGGCCATTGTAAACAGTCTCTCTCCATCTTTCTTGCAGGCTCCCTTCAGGTACTGGAGTTGGTCACCACCTAACTGCAAAAAAAACCCCCAGGCTACTATAGAATCATTTTGGTTGGAAAAAGCCCTTAAAGATCATCAAGTCCAGCCATTAACTCAGCACTGCCAAGCCCACCACTAAATCACATCCTCAAGTGCCACATCCACCTTTCCTTTTGAACACTTTCTGGTAGCTCGATAAAACCAAAGGTTGGGTGCCATCACCTCAAGAATCACTGAGGTTCAGCATGAACGGGGGGGGGAAAAAGCCAAGCCTTCTTTGCATGTTTTGATTGTTCTGCTTCCAGCTCCTCTCCACCTTAACCCCGGTACCACCACAAAGAGTTGTGTTGAACACCAGGCTCTGAGGTGTCACCATACACAGTGAACCCTTCCCAGAGCCACACACGCTCCTGAAGCCATTAACAAATACCTTTTTGTGGAATCACAGGATGGTTTGGGTTGGAAGGGACCTTAAAGACCATCTTGTTCCACTCCCTTCCCGTGTGCAGGGACACCTTCCTCTAGACCAGGATGCTCCCAGCCCCTTCCAACCCAGCCTTAAATGCCCACACCTGAGCGATTACGATCTGCAGCTGCGAGTTCACTTAAATACTGTAAATAGCATTAAGAGCATTGACCAGGGAAGGTCAATATGAAGCACTCCCTCAGGTGAGTGCTGTTACACTCCACACCAGACTGCAGTAAGGCCTTTACACAAGGAGCAATTACAACTTCAAGTTGAAAACGTTAATCCGAGCCTTTGCCGGGATCCCTACATGTTTCACTGTACACAAGCAGAGGCTCTGAGATCCTTCTCCTGAAACCTGTGTCTCTTTCCGGAGCTCTGGGGAGCTGCATTCCCACTTCGAGGGCACCAAGGGGCAAACGCTGACAGAGAAATAAATGTTTTTGGACGCGATACACTGTCCTAGAGGAAGGAAGGTAACGCCGGTGGGATGCCTTGGATGTTTTCCAGGCGCACCACGGATTGCAAAGACCTCCCGCCCGCCTGGCCTCGGACACCCCTGTGCCCCCCTCGCCCGTCAGAACCCGGCGTCCACTTTTGGGGCAGTTTATTTGGGTTTTGGGGTCTGGTGGAGGGGCTGTTGTTCAGCCCACTGCCGCTTCCCCCGACATCCTTTTGAATCCGCGGCGAGTCGCCTTAAAAGGGCAAAATATCTGTGGAGAAACGGCAGCGGGAATGGGAACGGGGAGGGTGGGAATAGGAACTGGGGGAGAGCGGGAGTGGGGGGAAGCGAGAATGACAAGGGGGAATGGGAAGGGGACGGGGACAGAGCGGCAGCCGCCGCCCCGGCACACACAGCCCGGCCCCGGGTCCGGCCATGGCGGCCGCCCTGAGGGCGGGCAGTTGCCAGGAGACGGCGGGGCCCCGCC